CTAGAGTGTACACAGTACAATTAAAGGAATGCATTGTATAGCTGAATAGTAATAGTTGCTGTAGGTCCGTAATAGTGGACAACTACATGTATGTGATACAATGATAGAACACCAAAGACTTGCTACAGGCAACTGGTTACAATTACACCCCATGGCTCTAGTAAATCCAAAATACCAGACTCTTTTGTAACTTGTCTGCCGTTCTTCCAGAAAAGTCTTGGACAAGAAAGAAATAAATCCATGTGGAGAGATACCAATCAATACTTAACAAATGTACATGTATGTTCCTTTGTAATGAGAATACATCGGCACCTGTCTCTTCACAGTTGACGGTTTCTCAGTTTTAAATTCAAAACAATCTATGATACACCTGGCATTTGGGTACACAGAAAAGGCAGATGGCAACAAAGACTGGACTGTTAATGCTGACGGCCAAATGATCCAGTCAAAAGTTGATCTTGACAGATTTTCCAGCACAAAATGAAAAGCTCTTGAAGCTGTTATGAATACTGCAAAAACCAAAACTCCTAAACCAAATCGCAGTTTCATGAGAAACAACAGCAGACAATTCTCAGAATTCATACCCCTTGACTTTGTTAAAACAGTGAGAGGAGGAGAAACACACTTAGTACACCTTCAGGTCTTGGACTTTGCCATCTCACCCATGAAATCCACATGTGCACTTGAGGTTTCCCAGCATAGCATCTGGTGCCATGCACTGGTCTTTTGTCTCTGTGTGTCCAATACAGGGTTCCTTGTAGAAAGATGTCTAGGTACTAGCCTCGGTACCAGTCACGTAACAATACATAGTATGGACAGCAGTTCATGCATGAGCTCCTGGGCCAGTGCAGGTGCATGTATCCTGTTCAGGAAAAGTGGCTTGAATCTGTCTGTGCACATGCACTTTCTCAGTTTTCTACTTTGGGATCAGCTGGCCCGAGATGTACATGTAGTTGTGATCAGCAGATACTACTGGAGTAGAAACAGGTACCTGCGTCTTATATTCGTTGATTTCCTTACTGTAGTCACCTCCTGTGTTCAGGAAGGGTTTGTTACACTTCTTCCTATCCTCAAAATGGCAAGCACACATTCTGTTGGATTTACCTGGTTTCCAAGGGGAGCCATCACGCCTGTACATGTATTTCATAGAATAAAAACAAAATTAAGGGATAATGCCAACAAGGTTGATTGACCAATCATGCAAAAAATGTGCTATCATCAATACATTTTTTTTTGTAATGCCATCCACATCAATAGTGGCATCCATCAAAACTAAAAAACTGTCCATCAACTTACATGTATGTCCCAAAATCACTACTGACTCCCGAAATTTCATTATTTTTAAGAGAAAGACCCAACATAATAAAAACTGAGTTCCAAATGTAAGTTCTAGCAACTATATAAAAAACATTTTAATCAGGTCACATGATGATGTAATTTTCCTGCAAAATCTTTGGAAGATAAGATTTGACTTGCCCGCAGTCAACACGGCCGCCATTTGCCCTTAACCGTTAGTGTCTATGGTCAAATTATGGTAAACATTAAATTTGCCACAGAGACTCGATGGAGATTTTTAATGGTAACATTTTCACGCATGAGGTAAACTTCAGTAAAGCTTTATTTTTGTTGGGTAAATGTTTCTATTGGTGGATTGGACTTGCCTACTCAGAATTCAGCACAAGATTTGACTGAAAAATCTCCTTGATCCGAGCACTTTGTATTGACATGTTTGGCTGATAAAGAGATTGATGCCATCTACGAACTGTGATCTAAAAATAGTTCAAAATCGTCGTTTCATAATCGAGCAACATGTGCACAGTCTGGCATTGTCGCTAGATTGTGGTTTGTTCCCTGACGTGGTTACGTGTGCTCATCCCTCGCTAAAGCTTTTAGTTTGGCTACGTATATCTTGTACTTTGAATGACTTGAAAAGTGTCTGTTCCTGGGCCTACTTACATGACTTACTTGGACTCTAAGTTAGAGGTTGAAATAAAATAGTAGCCCATGTTAGGACAAGTATTGAAGTAGCGTTACGCCTGGCCCTACTTGTGGGGAATCATTGGTAGTGTGGCTTGCTCTCTGTCATTGACATAAAAGCTTGTTTGAAAGAAAACCCCGTCAATCGGGACAGGGTCCAATATATGATGAAGGATTAGGCCTTTAAGTCTGGCCCTGTTTATGGGAATTACACCTAACATTCAGACGTTAAGACGCAAATTCTCAACGCTTACCGGGTAAATACGGTCATCCATAGTTGCACTCGCCTGCTTGACTTCAAAGGAAAATGGAAAAAATGTACCTCTTGGGCAAGTTTTTCTGTTGTGAGAACACCCCGCATTTTTGCTTAATTCGCCATGAACATGGTGATGAGTCAGCCATTCTCTCGCCTTCTTCAAAGCTGTACCATCTGAATGAAAGACCTTGGCTAGACAGCCTAAAGCCTGAGAATGCACGTATGCACGGAAACTGTAGAACTTAAACTAGCATGCACTAGGCAGTACATCATGCATGCTAGTAGTACTGGTAGCCAGGATACACTAGTACTGCTAGACTGTCTAAGCATGTCGCGTCAGTCGAAACAAGATGGCGGTACTGAGGGTACTGCGGACCAACTGGCTCTGTTCATCCTTTGAGGGGGGTACTTCTTGTCAAGGTGGATATGGTGTGGGGTCCAGAGCCAGCCTTAAGGTGCCAGAAAATTTTGAATTCTAGATGCTCTCTGGTGTATTCTGGACTTGTTTTTACACTGTTCATACCTGAAGTACTGCATGAACGATGTAAAAACAAGTCCGGCAATTTGATTGGCTGATAACGATTGCAATCGCTGTTTACAAACAGCTGGCAGATTCGTGAAGTCAGGATTTCTGATCTCACAGTAATAAGCGGACACAAGAGGGCGCGAAGTAAATAACTCGTGGCCTCCCATAGACATAAATAATTTATGTCTGTGCGGCCTCCGCATCCAAGGCATAAACCGAGACGTTGCAGAATAGTAATGCCAGTCTAGTAATACCAATATATTCATTCATTTGCATTACGGCGCCACAACTGTGTTTCCACTCGCTGCGTCAGAAAAAGAGGACAGAAAGGAGAGAGAGAGGGGGGGAGTCCAGGGGGAGGGAAGAAGAGGGGAAGAGAAGGAAAGGAACAAAAATTGGCACTTGCGCAAGGAAGCCAAACAAGGAAAATCTGGTATACTCAAGAAAGAAGCTGAAATCTGCTAAAAATTGGAGATTTCACACTCCTGTGTATTACAGGGTTGATAATATTTCTACTGCTTAAAGGTGGTTGTTTATTTTCAAGTCTTATCTAATGTATTCTAATTTTGAAAACTCTTATAAACCTCCCCGCTTGGTTTGTTCTTCTTTCTTAAAACGGGCTTTGGTACTTTCTATGAATTCATCCATTTTGCCATCCAAATACATCAATGCTAACTGGCATTAACCCTTTACCGTTTAATTTTGGCCAGAAATCCTATTTTAGAAAGCCGGAAAATATATCTGACAAGTTGCTTGTAGTTAATGTTGGAGAGGAGAGGGCAACAGCTAATAGGAGCAGATGTACATTTTTTAAAATTTAATTTAATATTTTTCATTTTTGGTTTTGCGGTGTGTATTGAAAGTAACTACTTTAACACCTCAGATTTTAATGGAATGTTCTTTTCCCCCTTCCGATTTATGTTGACGAGGCCACGAGTTTTCTTCAGGAACTTTCTCATTGTATGCACCCCTAAAGTCGGAGTCCTTCCATGCAGGTCTTTTGTGTAGTGTACATGTAACTGGTTTTCTTTCACTGATAGAGAAGTATTGTTTCGAGCCCAATTAGAGATGGGAGTCCACAAGGAAATTTTTTTCCCCTCCCCTGACTAGTTAGTTAAATGTTCAATCCAAATGTGTTAAACGATAAACCAGTATTGATGGTGAACCTGTGTCTGTGTCTTTTTTTGCTTAGTAAATTAGGTCAGCCGGGTTCTGGTAAAAAGCTGCTTCTTTTATTATTTAAAAATTAGCTTGAGCTTGTTGGAGTGAAGTGTGAAATGAAAGTGATGTGGAAAATATTGTAATGAAAAGCCTTCTTGATATTTAATTAGAATTCCTTTCTTTGTGTTTGCTCATGGCTCACTGCATACTGAGAATTTGGCTTATTCTTTTCTTAAGCAGGACTCTTTTGTCATGTTTGAGCAGAGCTCAAAGTGCCCGTAGATTAGAGTCATTTAAATTTGAATTACATGCATCGCTACAGAAGGGAGGGCCACTCCCTTACATTTCTTCTTTTGAAAATTGGGTCGGGCACTTTCTATAAAAACTAGAGCCCACTCTTGCCTGTGGAGGTTTTGCGACTGGGTGCTGGTAAAAGCAACATGCCGTTTTGATTTGTTTCTGTTGCGCATACGAGTTAAAATACAGTTGAGTGCCACTACTGAAACACATGGATATCTTGACAAATTCTGTAAGTTTATTTTCTAATCTCAGCCGTGCCTGTAATTCCTGTAATTCTGTTATTGTATAATTTACTGCTTATGATGCTGTATAATTGTAGATGTAGTAATGATTGTCGACCAAACTGGTCAAAGATGGCACTTGAGTCAGTGATTTGCTGGCTAGAGCCATGAGCTAATTGGATTGTAAAATACAGCCAAGAAACTTGTTAGGCTGATTCTATTGTATTTATTTGAAACCATACTGCCAAATTGTAAATATCTGAAATGTTTTTTTTGTGTTCATTAATGCCAGAGGCCAGTTGACCAGTGACAAATATAAAAACAGTTCTTTTCTGTTTAGTTGATCTGTGTGTGTTCCCACTACTGGCAGAGTCCTAATAACAAATAACCTGCCATGGTTATGATAGAACCAAAGAAAACCCAGATTTTGTTGTCAAGGCCAGCAGTGGAGCAAAACTCAACACTTTATGTACAATCCACTGAAGAAATTCCCGAGTGTAAATACCCATTTATTTTGGCAAATTCTTTTAAGTTCATTTTTTGTTGTCAGAAGATAAAGTTCCTCTCCTTCACTGAAAAATCAATAGAATTTGTAGATGCAATTTGATTTGATTTTAGTTATATTTGTCAAGGGTGAAGTATTCAGCTGTGTAATTTAGTCCAAAGTTATTAAGGATTATTTTGAAGTTTGAATTACAGTCAGGAACTTACCTTTTTTGTCAAATTAGAAATGTAGTACTTGTACGGTTTGGCCATTTCTTTAAATTTAGATGGTCCGTGGTCACTCTTGGTGTCAATCACAACTACCCTGCTACCCGTGCTACTCGGTGTCACAAATTGACTTGGATGACAGAAACTCTACAAATACCTGAGTGCAGTGCTGAGAATTGAGTGAACAAGAGTTAACAAACTCTGCGAGAGTAACTATAAGGGATGTATACACTGTATTTTTATGACAAACTGTAATCATCTGTGATTGTAAGGAGCCTGAAATGATTTGTACAGGGTCGAAATGATTTTGTATTTCACTGATTGAACTTGAATTTGATTTTTTTGTAACTGAGAATCAGAAAACAAAGGCAATTTAACAATTGATTATAAACTTCATTTTGCCTGCAATTTAATGAAATCCTTGATTAAATCATTTTCTTTTTATGCCTATGTATAAAGTTTTGTAAATAAAGCAGTTGTAAACCAGAAAGGAGGAACACTTAAAAAGTGAGAAGTTTGCACCTCATCCTTTTGGCAGTCACATTCTAACAATAGAATATTCCTGTGTATTCCCTTTGCCTTAAAAAATCCCTCAACTTTTGTATCACAATTGACATAATTACGTTCTTGCTTACATGCATTTGCTAAAATTAAATATTAAATTGGTTGAAAAAAGAAAGATTTCCGTATTTTTCTTGAACTTCTTTGCATAAATAAGTGTAATGTCCCATGGCAAAACCAGGCTGTTCCTGAAGTGAAAAAAAAGATTCATGTAGCAAAATTGAACTCGGCTACAGTACCAAAACATTGTGACATCATACTTAAAGCTTACTATCATAAAGCCTTACTATAAAGTTTCTGTAATTTTAAAACCTAGTTTTAAAAGGTGGGAAGTGCCTAGGTTAGGCATAAACATATCCACTGTGTTTACATTCACCTCTAAGGAAGATGTTACCTCATAATCTTCACCATTTCGTCATGCTGGATGACCTTTATGACGTGATACTTTCCTCGGTGCCTAGCGCCCTGGCAACCACTTTTTTCATTTTAATTACGCTTACATCTTTTGCAGTGCCGTCCCACTCCAAAAAGCGAGCCAGGTTTTTTTGGTCAACCAAATCAGGTGCCTCTGTATGCAAGAACAAAATATACTCACATAATGTTGAACAATACAGAGCAACCTTCACAGAAATATTAGGCTGTGTTTTAGCGCTTTTAATTGTCAATTTTTAATAAATATCCTCTGAATAAAATAAAAATCACAAACACAACTTTTTATTGTTTTGATGAACTGATGTGGTGTCCAGCCTCATCAGACTGGGCCCTGATACTCGACGACCCTCCATATTCTGCATCTAAATCAACTTGTAGAAAAACTTGAGAAATTTGCATTTTTCAATTGTGACACCCAGAAGGTTCCTTCAGTTAATTTCAGGACTTGGGGCACACTTACCGTCTCACTTGTAAAGGAAAAGTAAACAGGACATTCCAAATGTGTACTTTCCATGGACATATAATAGACCGCATGAAATATTCGTCTAAGAATTACATGTCAGTAGAACATCCTGGGAATGCTTTATTTTCTTTGGCTAGTCAGAAGGTAAGATTCAAAGCCAGAAATCAACTGTCTATCAGTCTCACAGGGCTGTGTGATATATGGTCTCTGTTACACCAAATAAATAAAAACAAATTATGTGACGACACATAACTTTCTTCCGTTGCCCAATTCCCTAGATACAGGGCTATACAGGTACTAAGAATGACCTTAGCTAGTGGTGTGACCTTGTGTTGTGCACATGCATACATGTATGTGGTATGGGTTTACACATACCGGTACATGTAAGTCGTCTCGCCACTTACATAGACCTATAATTTTGGATGGTTTTTCTTGAACATTCCGCATTATATGATATTTAAAACTACATCAGTGTTTTGAAAGTATATTTTATAGAATTTCATTATTTTCTGGAATTATCAATTTACGATACATTTTATGTGGGTGCAGTTATATTTTATAGGATTTCGGCGCTGTGTTCGTATGGAGTAGGGCTTGCGAGAACGGTCACTAGCTGTTCACTCTCAATCTGTCGGTGATGGCAGTTGCAATTTCTCCCTTGGAGAATTGTTCAATTTTGACCTCTCCACCTGTTTGGGTAGCATGGGAATGTGCTGATAAAGGGTGCCTACATGTACATCTCCAGAACATTAAGTTGTTGAGTGTGCCTTGTTTCATATTTGTTTGGAATTTGTATCTTGAGGGCATTCGCTCATAACTTTTGACCCGAGTCGCCATTCATGCATTTGCACACGTACAAGCATGTTTTTAAATGCACAGCGCATCCAAGTTGCCGCGTCTGTGCTGGCATTGTGTGTACAGTCATCCTATTTGATAAGGTACATTTTTGTCTTTTCTTGTCTTGTAGGCAGTAATGTAGCTGTGCCTACTGAGACTTGCATATGGGGATTGATCGATCGATCAATTGATCTTTCTTTTACATCATTGTTACATCATCTTCGCATTCTACAAGTTCTGAATGGGATCTTTTGATGACATCTTTTTGCCGGGATATTGTCAACAACTGCTGGGACTTTAACTGGGACACATACTTAATTGTCTACTGTAATTCTGACTGTGACTCACTGCTGTATACTTGATGATAAAGTTGATTTCTCAAATAATTTAGACAAATTCTCCACACTTCTGAGTGTCTGTAATTAAACAAGAACTGGTCGTTCTATTATTTATTTCATCGGGTCACTCAAACACATATTTACCACGATAAACTTTGGGAAATTGCTCCCTTATTATGCTGTGACACCGCACCACAGTACTTGCCACAGAAAAAATGTTTTGGGCAGAAATACTCACCTAACCCACATGTATTGAACAGCCTCTGCTCTGTCTTCAAGGTACTTTTGATGATATCTTCCCTTGTTGCATGTTGCCGTCCTTTCCTCCCCTTCATGCCCTGGATGATGTCAATCTGCTCTAACTCCTCATCAAATCGATGCAAGTAGCTGAAAAATTTGTTTGTCAATAAATGAGCTGCGAAGGTGCCTATTTCAACCCACTTTGAAATTCCCACCAAAAAGTGCTTGTATGGATTAAGTATACAGTGTAACCTGTGTGCTAGAGTTGCTCATTAAAACTGATGCATGTACATGTACAATTGTTTCCTTGGTGTTTGTTACCTAAACCTAACCCTGCCAGATGCCAACTGGTGTGGTGTGGCACCACAAGTCAGGCAATCAAATAGCAGAACTGAGTAGAATTGTCTGTATCATATGTGTCAAGGTGTGACAGTCAGTTGTAAAACAGTGTGACAGGTTCTATAAAATATAAGCCATTAGATAACAATAAACTTGGTGGGTTCGTTTTCCTATAATAACAATGGTGAATGAATTAATAATGTCTGATAAAATGAGGGGAGTCATGACTGGTATCAGGAACACTGATGACCGTGCCCAGAGTTGATTAATTAAAGTTTCAAACATCAGCAATTTTGATGGACAAAAACAACCAGTAAACCTTAGTCACCTAAAAATTACAGGAAAATAATGATTCCTGTGGTAATTTTTAAATAGATCTGTAAGTATTAGGTCCGTCAAAAATATTCAATGTAAAAAAAAAAAAGGTGAGAAAATCAAAACTGATGTACAGCACGAGTTTAAGAGTGCAAGAAACGACCCTAAACCATCATCCCTTTACGACTTACATTTTCTTCAAGTATGTTTGCATAAACCCATTCAGAATATCACGATGACTTTTGTACATCTGTCAATATTTAGCTGTTTCGGCTAGCAGTCGTGACAGCTAAGACTTTCCTTTGTCTTTTAATTTTTTTTACCACTTCCTGCCTGGGATTCCAGTTCTGCACACATATGCTTTATATGCGTGGCCAGGGTCTCCGAACTCGGACAAAGGGAACTGGGCCTTGTAACAAAAGACCATACATGTACTTGAAACAAAAGACCAGGCTGCTGGGCATTACCGACATTTTTTCACTCTCAAAAGTGGAGATAATCCAGCCTTGTTTTGAAACAGTATACCACAGTTTGGGGCATTTAGAGCGGATGGATTACCACCAGGGAAAAAAGCGCTCCACTAACACAGCGATGAATCACACAGCACTGCTGCGTGCTAATCTGGCCCCTATTGAAAAGAGGTCAGTGGCACACTGGGCCAGGTTCGTGAACAAAAGAATTCTATGTAACACCACACAATCTGGGCTCTTTTTACAAGGCTGCAGGCCTGGCTGAAATACTCGGGCGTCAACAGATTTTGTCTGTCAGTAACAGAGGCAGATGTTAGGCGCGTTAAGCTGTGTGTTAAGCCATCGCGGCGCATAGGCTCTGCCTTGTGTGTAGGGCGATTGGTTAACGGAAGTCATTGCTGGTCACATTTAGCACACACGTGCAGGCGTAGATGCAGCAGCGGCCGGCTCGTGAAGCTATAAAAGGGGCGCGCAGGCAAGGTTTAGTTGTCCTGATCAAGGGCTGATCCTGAGTCAAGGGTCGAGAATCCTGTTCAAGGGTTAAAGTCACCAAGCCTAGTGTGACTGTGTCTAAGTCCAGAGTGGTGAGTGTGTCGTTGAGGGACTCGGTAAGTTGAGGGGCTAAGTGGTGGTGCGGTATAGTTCCTGGTCGATATAAGGGCAGATTGCTATCTTGTGACTGGGTGCTTACCTATCAAAATTTGTTAAAATGTAAAAAAAAACATTAAAAAAAATAAACAAACGCTAGGTTCCTACCCAGTTAATTTTTTTCAAAATCAAAGAAATCATAACCAGTTTTACATCCTTTATATACACCTCAGACCAAGAGAAATCCCCCCCCCATTCTAGGTTACTGCATGGAACTTTCAAACGGTCTCCAGGTAAGGAGGAACCCTTGCTTTGCTGTAAATTTTACTACAGTTTGGCAGTGTTTCAAAATATTACACCGGGCGTTTTTTTTATCGTAACTTCTTGTGTTTCACAAAGCTTTTTCCAAGCTGCTTTTTCAGGGCTTACCCTCTCTATCACTGCTACCAGACATTTTTTTGCCTTGTTGAACATTTCTCTCACCATAATTTTGCACATTGTTCGATTTCATTGTCTTCTTTGCTTTTATTTCTTTTTTTCCGGACAGTTTTGTACTCGTTCCCAATCTACATGTAATTTGTTCTTTGAGTTCCTTAAACTTTCAGAGCTCTGATGTAATTAACAAAAATTTTTCACAAGAGATGTGTCCGTCGTTAATGGCATGGGATATGTTATGCGTCTATCGTATTTAGTTTGGCATCGGCTAGCACTCTTAGTTGGTCGTCTTTTTGGACTTTACCTGCAATCGTTTATTGGCATATTTTAACAGAACATATGCACCAAACACACCAAAAGCAACCCCTTCCATCAATAATCACAAAGAAGTGCTCAAAACACCCAACATGGCTGGTATGCCCACAGCTGCCAACAGCACACCTAAGGTTTGGATTCGATATTCCACGTAATTTATTGCTATCAACAAACGTTGATTTTTTTATGTTGTTTCTCATTTTTCTTGCTCTGCCAATATGATAGATTCGATGTCGTCAATTATTTGGAGTCTGTAAAGCTCTGTTTCTTCTTTGGGGATGGTAGATCAGGGTAAACGCTCAGGTAAAGGTCCCGCTGGGTAAAATATCGCTGGGCCAATTTTTTTGAGTCTGTAAGGCTTTGTGATTCTTTGTTTACTTCAGTCATGGTTTCTTTCTAAGAAGCTTTAGAAAAAGCTTTACAAAACTTCCAACTCAATAAAAACGCCAGCACCTCTATTGTTAATGACTTCTGCCCTGCCGTTCCTCACCAAGAAATTGAAGCTACTTACTTTTTTGGTTTTAAGTGCTTTTGCCATATCACTTGGCTTTTTTATTATTATCCTCTGTTAAAACGCAACACACTAAGTCTGGAGACTGACCGTTGTGGTAGTTGTCACTGGTGTTTAATTTACATTTACTTTTCCTTTATAGATAACGTCGGGAACTAGTCTACCTTTTGCCAAATTGAGCAGTTTTTAAACTTCTTGCCCCAACCGCAATTTAAGATTTATCAAAACCAATTTAATTTTTTGGTGTATTGTGCATCTCAACTGCTTGTAGTGACGGTTGGGATCTTATGTATCGGCATTGTTTCAATTTTGCTTGTATTTTACTTTTCGAAAAATCTTACACAACATAAGACGACAGAGCATTTGTTGACACCTGTCGCCTTTTTAACGTAAGTGAAAAAAGTCTTTTAAACAAATGCGCGACAACGTGTCAAATAGTTTGGCCACTGGTTTTTATTACGATGACATGGAGGCATGGGCTATGTTCCTGTTCCTGGTAAAACTATGACAGTCACAATTTATACATTCCTAACGGCACTTATACCGGAGCCACTCACATGAGATTCAGGAGGGCCAAACCGCCGAAAGGATCTGGCCACGAGAGTACTTATACCATGACTTGGATAGAGCAGTCTGAAGCCGTCGTAAATGCCTGGTGGGATTTTGTGTCCAAAACATTGAGTTTTACAGATATAGGCATCACAAAAGTCAATGAATCCATAAGGGCTTACGTGTATGCGTTGTTATGAGCACAAGCTCAAACAAAATCCAGCGTGTTGGCACCCACCGCTGGATTAGATGCTCAACAATTTATCACCACTGTGGAAAATCTCATCAACTCAAAACCCTGTCTAGAATAGTCGATCAACCAATATCAGGACTCCCTACAGTATGCCAAATTCCTTTGAACTTTGTGGTTAAACTGGGGTTGTACCTGCTTCCTTCTGACATGGACTTGAGAATAGGGATATTTGAGGGTTACAACAACAACTTGCAAATTGTGACCTCTAGCAAAATTCACCCAACCCCTCTCCAGAGCACCCTCCAGGAACAGATGTTGACTTTACAGAGGGTGTAGCGAGTTTACCACAACCCCAACCCAAACCCACCTGTCGAATCCCCAGTGCAAGCACCTTTTAAACCCCAACCCGACCAACCAAAATTTTTAACACCTTTAAAATTTCGTAACGAAGAAAAAATTATCTCTAACTATCAGAGTGTTAGTTATTGGTGTAGCTTTTCTTTTGTAGTTTGACTAACGCAGTTAAAAAAAGTTAAAAGACCCCATAGAAATTCTATGGAGTCATTCTTGTAGACATTCTATGAAGTCTGTTTAAAAATACCCATAGTAAAAATGAATCTGGTGATGAAGTTACCGAGCCTTACCATTTTGAGCCCTTGGCAGTGAGACCCGACAAAACAAGTGGAACTGAGGCCAGTATGGTCAGCATGGCAGATGAATCAACAGTACATGTACCAGCGGATGAAAATCATCTCCAAACAACTGATAATATATAATTTTGCAATTGTACTGGAAAAATTATTGATAATTTGCAGAGGTATTTTTTCATGAAAGATTTAACTTAAACACCCTTCACCAGAATTTGTTAGTTATTGCAAATTCTTTGAAAATAAGCATCTAACTGTGTCGATTAGGCTTACATACATAATTAATAACCTTAAATCCTAAGACCTTTGACAAAAAACTTTTAAGCTATATATATGGACAAAAGGGGTTGGGCTTTCAGTGTGACGTGTTCTTGACACTGCATACATGGCATAAAGTGGTAAAATTGCTCACATGAATATTGCAGCTTTCTCCAGTTTTACTTTAAAAATTAATCTTGAAATGACAGACTGCCAAGGATTTGCTTACTTCTGAACACATTTATTGGTTATTTGCAAAACACTTTACTGTTGTTACTAATTCTCGTGAGGGTATTATCAAGTACAATCTTTTAATTTCTTTGGTATGTCAGGTACGAGCTGTCATTTTAATTCCATGTTTTGTGGCTACTCTTCAGGCGGCAAGTGTGTTTGTACATGTATGTATTTTCTTTCTGTTAAATTTGTACCGTAGAGTCAACATCATGGATGCAACTGTCAGCAGTGTTGCACAGGAAGAATGGGGGGGGGACAGTTTGAAAAAAAATTTTCTAGTAAGTCTATCTTAT